TTTGGAAATCTTTCTAGTCTCCATCCTACCAAGCCATAGTCTCATTTGTTTGGTGAATCTTTCATGAATTGATCTAGTCATTTCAAAGTATTGAGTCCCTAGTATGTGAGGTGTGCTTTTTTGTAGTATACAAAGGATTTGTGATAAATAATTAATTCATAATAAAGTATCAAATGATATCATGTACAAAGCAAGTGCTCTTGGTACACGCAAAATGTCTAAATCCAGACTGCAAGTAAGAAAAGAATCTGTGAAGTGGGAATTGCTTTTTCAGATCAACCATTCAGTCATCACACTGAAGAGCAAATGATGACAAAGGATTTTAAATGAAAACCAGAAGTAGCGACACTGAGGTGCACAGAAAAACAGCTTTGTGTTTGTTTATTTTTCCTCATTGAGTTTATTGGTACTGTTTAGGTACACAGCACAGTTACATTCATCATTGGGATCTTGTACCCTTACCTGACAGATTTTGGTTCTCACGCTGCTCCGCCCTCCCTTCACCCCCCCACCTCCCCTTTTCACAAAGACTTTGTTCCATTTTTTCTTCTCATATGTTTTCTTCCTTCTTTCTCTTCCCTCCCATTTCCCCTACACCTTTAGACCTTTTCTTCTTACTTCACATTGGAAAAACAGCTTCTTAGAGGAAGATGTCCAAGCTGGAAGGATTAAGAACTAAATCCTGATGAGTTGAGTATTTTTTTCACATACTTGTTGGCAATCTGCATGTCTTATTTTAGGAAATGTCTGTTTGACATGTCGAAACCTTGTGCTCAAGTTACATCCTTCTGTGAATGTATTTTCTTTTTCTGTTCAGCAATAGATGAACTACAGGAGTAAATCCTGGTGCCCTGTTTCACAGAAGGGTAATTCAGTCAATCGTGACGTGTTGTCCATTGTAAAGTAGTATAAGAAATAATTTTGAGTGTTTCTCAATTAAGAATAAATGTTTGAAAAAAAAGAATACATGTTTGATGTAACAGATATGCTCGTATACTCTCTTGATTATTATTTAGTGAATTTATGGCTATTAACATGCTGCAGCTTTTGCAATGTTGTGTCAATTAAAAATAAAATGAGAGCAAAATTGCAAAGCCCTCTACCCTCCTCTCCAGGGCTTCAGTTCTCACCTAGCGCCTCCCACGCCACTTCCCTGCCTTCTTGGCTCTCTCTTCGCTAGTTAAATGTCCACTTTTAAGGTTCATACATCACACTCCCCTAAGGACATTGTTCTGCTTATCACTGGGATTATTAAGCTGTCATTTCTCACTTGAAACTGCCAGTGCTCTTAGTTAGCTTGGGCCTGCCATTCCAGCACATGCTTTGGGACAGAATTAAACTACAGCAACAAATAAAATAAATCCTGGTCATAAAATCCTGAGTGCCTTATTAGATATCCAATTGGGACTAATTGAAGGTGTGACTTATACTTTGAATATATATTTCATATCTTTCACTGCTTTTAAGGAAGTAATTAAGGGGTCATGAGTTCTATTATAATGAATTTACAAACACATGAATTTTAAATAAACAGAAAGTAAAGGGCATTCACCTAGGGAGTCATTCAATGTCCAGCTGCTTCATCTGGCTCTACTCAAGTTCATGAGGTCAAAACACGGAAAGAAGATGAGAGAATGGGGCTATAGGCAGGTATTTGAAGGCTTCTGCAGCCCTCTATGAAACTCTGCATTCTGCATTAAAGCCACAAGCCAGAGGATATTGTAATCCCCAGCCCGACTCCATCTTGTGCCTCAGTTCCAGTTTGTACCTGCTCTAGAACAAAGTGCTCTCACTGGAACAAAACGCCCAAAACCCCCACATCCTGTTTGGCAGTAAACTTGCTACCGTTTCTGGATGTTTTGTAGCTCACCTAGTGTGTGCGAAACTTCCTCGTGCCCCCCACTAACCTGGCAGGGTTCTGCTTGCTCTCCTCTGAGCCCTCCCCAACTGGAAGCATGATTTAAAAGGAGGAGTCAAACTGCTTCCCATTGCTGAGGAAACTTCTGGGTGCTAGCCCTTCCTCTACCACCAGCCCAATTATTTTAGCAAGCCCAGTCTTCTAGTGCACTTGCAGAGTGACTCCACCTCTTTCCTTGCCCTAGAGGGTAAGTACAATACTGTCCACACCTTGTAGCATCCATGCAGATGGACTCTGGACTTCTCCAAAGGACGCCGGAAAAGGGGCTACATGTCCCTTGATGAGTTTCCACATTGTACTATGCTTTTGTTGAACACCATTGAAAACAAACAAACAAAAAACAACATGGCAGTTTTGAATCAACACAGCTTAAAGTTGTAAAGAAATAACTACTGATGCAAATTTATGCTCAGTGAGAAAACAAAAAAGAACAAGTAATATTTATATTATTATTTTGTGTAACATTTCATAGTGTCTCTCTGTGTGTCTGAAAATAGAAGGCACCTTACTCTAAGTAATGTGTTACTGGAGTCATTTCTGAGTGGCTTGATTTAGCTGAAGCAATAATATATTACGCTCATTAAGTTGGGCAACTTGGTCATGTTCTTCAAAACATAATAGTTTATTAACTAATACAGGTGTGCAAAAAGACAAAATTTTAGGTTCTCAAGACTATTCTCTTTTATTAGGTTGGCATGAAAACAACATGAAGGTTACATAAGGCTTTCAATGTATGCCCTCTTTGCTGATTTTATGTATTCTTTTATAAAATATACTGATGTTATACATTTCCAAACATCCCATGAATGCATATATTTATAAAGTTACACAATTTCAGTGGGATATTTGTCTTGCATTACTGAACAGTTTAAAAGGAATGAAAATACAATCCGATGTCTTAAATTTTTATTTCCCCTCTAATCTCAAGTGGTATATTTGCTGTTCATAAAGTACATTATTTATCAGGACTTCTCAATTGCCCCCCGACATAATATATCTTATCAAAAACACAGTAGATGTATTGATAGCTACAAAAATGTAGGCACTCTCCTAATTTAAAATTGTTTTCAGTTTCCTATCATTTACATCAATTCACACTGCTTTTTCCTTTAAAGACATTGACTTAATAATTTTACATATTTTAAAGAATTACCTTCTTTCATTTTGATTATATTTTTATTTGAAAGAAATGATAAAGCTGTAAGAGATTCCAAGAAGAGTTTGGAGGTTACAGTGAGACTGACTTAGGACAGATCGGTAATGACATGCAGACGCCAGGCTCCCTGTCCCATGCTCTTCAGAGCCCGCTCAGCCGGCTGACCAGGCTCTAGCAACAGGTGCTCCCCTTGGGCCGTGTTTGTAGACCTCTGCCAGCCACCAGAAGGCTTCTGTTTCCGCGGTTCTGCCTTCTCTTCCGGTTATTCCTGAGGAGAGGTTTCTTCATAGCTAATCAAACTTGCCACCTCATTCTGGAGCTCAGCAGATGCCTCAAACTACACTATGATCTGAGCCCCAAATCCCATATTCTCAAGAAGTGAGTTTAGATGCTACCCCGCGTAGCTCCAGCCCAAGGGCCGTGGCTGGAATAGCACTAAGGAAGAGTAATCAATCTCTCTTCACCGTGCTGAACCAGGCCTTTACGAGATCCTTTTCTACTGCATATTCTGGAAAAGTATGTACCCCACCTCAACCTCGGGATGCCATTATTGTCTTCAGGATTGAAAGCTCACGTTAGCTGAAGCCCTGTTGCACCACTGCTCTCAATGGACTTTTTTTTTTTTTAATGAAAATCCATCCCACTTCATGAAATAGCACTATGGCTTCAACCTCCAACTCAGCATTTACTGTCACTCTCAGGTGGCTTTTTATTTTAATTCATCCTATCTCCCATTGTTTTTGCTCATTCTTGGATTGAATCTTTTATTTTACTCTCGAGCCACACTTTCTCTAATATCTGCTGCAGCAGCCATCTTAGACGACATCCCAGCATTCATAGCTCCAGTTCCCATCCATGGTCCTTGGGGCAGGCCTCCCTCAGAATTTAGCTGTGGGCCTACAGAGAAAGAGCGTTTGGGTCCTGTATACTCCTGAGAAAATGTTTTATGAGCCAGAATTTAATTTAGTCAATATTTGAAAACCATTTCACAAAAGATTTTTCAAGAAGCCATTGTACTTGGTAGCATCTTAGAATAGTCAATTGCACACACCGTGAATGAAACAAAAGTAATTCAAGAGGAGTGACTAGTTCCTGTGTATCATTTCCCCCACTGCACATAATCTTAACTAAAAACAATCTATAATAAGCTTGTATTTGTTTCATAAATATTCACTCTGAATGTAGGCTAGGCTTGATACTCTGATAAAGAAATGAAAGATTAATGAATTAAGATTTAATGAGAAATCATTCTAGAGGGATAGAAAGTATATATAAAGCTACAACATGATAAGGCAGACTGTGAGCATCTTCAGAGTATTTTCATGGTTGTAATGAGATTTAGAGTACAAATTATCTTTTGAAACTGAAGAGAAATTCATGAAAAATTGTGCAGGGTTTCAAATTTGAGGAAAGCTTTTTAGAATGAGTTGATTTGCACAGGTAAGTTACACTGTGCACATATTTACGTGGGAATCAAAATCAATTGATTATGAAACTTTGTGAATTGTGCTTGTTTTCTTTCACCAAAAAGGAGTCTGATATGTCCAAGGTTTATCCTTCTCTGAGAGTGTTTTTTAAAAATGTTTGGAGGGCTGGGCATTGAGCTCAGTGGTTCCTCCTCCTGCCTCACAAGTGCAAGGACCCGCATTCAATCCCAAAATATGTTTGGAGAAGGAAAATGAAGAAGTGTAAGAATGTGGGTGGTGGAAGACAAAGTGAAGGGTGAATCTTCCTCTGAAGTAAATATTAGAAATGTCAACTGTAAAATAATAAAGAAATGTATATCGTACAAGTAATGTGAGAGAGCTGAGCTGAACTTGAGGCTCTGGCATTCACTACCCACAGATTTGGGAAACATCCATGTTAAATTAACTTTTTAAAAAACAGAACATTGTTGAAATTGCTCGGCACATTTTGTTTTTAATATTAAGATAGTCTGTTTTGGTTAATTATCTTTCTGAAGGCACTTTTGACATCCCTGTTCCTTAGACTGTAGATGAGGGGGTTCAGCATGGGTATAATCAATGTGTAGAACACAGAGGTAACTCTGTCAATATCCATTGAATGGCCTGCACTGGGCCGCAAATAAATGAAAATCAGAGTGCCGTGGTAAATAGTGACCACTGTCAGGTGTGAAGCACAGGTGGAGAACCCTTTCCTTCTTCCTTCTGCTGAACCTGTCCTAAGGATAGCTGCTATAATACAGACATAAGACAGGAGAACTGTTAGAAGACAAATAGCTTCCACCAAACTAGCAAACACCACCAGAATGATGTCATGTGCATATGTTTCAGTGCAGGACAGAAAGAAGAGAGGAGAGATATCACAAAAGAAATGGTTAATTTCCTTGGAGCAGAAGGCTAAAAGGAAAGTATTAGTGGTGTGAATAATTGAGCTCATAGCGCCCCCCAAAAATGCTCCAAGTGCAAGCTGGCTACAAACTCTCTTGGACATAGTAACAGTGTAAAGCAGGGGTTTACAGATTGCTACGTATCTGTCATAAGCCATGGCAGCCAAGAGGAAAGATTCAGTGTCAACCAAAAAGCAGAAAAAGTATAACTGTGCAGCACAGCCATGGTAAGAAATGGTCTTCTTATCAGAAATCAAGTTCACAAGTAATTTGGGGGCAATGACAGAAGAGTAGCATGCATCCACGAAGGAGAGCATGCAGAGGAAAAAGTACATGGGGGTGTGCAAAGGGGAGCTGACTGTGATTAATAAAATCATGCCAAGATTCCCCATCAGAGTGACAGAGTAAATGGAAAGGAACACAGCAAAGAGCAGGTGCTGAAGTTCTGGGTGGTCGCTAAACCCCACAAGAAGGAACTCCACGGTCACAGTGCCGTTCTCCAAACGCAACATGTGCAGTGCTTCCAGGTGTCTGGAGTGGTGACGGAGGAAGGACAGAAGTGGGCGCAGCAGCTGGACACCGGTCAAAGAGAAAAAGAAAGAAGAAAGATCAAATAATGGAACAGGGATTCTAAATCCACTCGAGCATTCTCACAGCAATGAGGTATGTCCACAGTTAGAGCAGTGCAGGACACGTTTTCATTTTTAAAATTAAATCAGGAATTTACCACCTCCTTCCTAAAGCTCTTATTTTCAACATTGGACAGCACCACCATCAACCGTGCTGCACAAATTAAAGCTGCAATTTCACTTTAAATTCTTTCATTCTCTCGCTCATCGTGTATGTCAAGTGACCGCAGAGGCTCACCTTGGTGCAGCAGGCTCTGGATTCAGAGTCTCTGTTCCCCTTTGTGTTGATTTATGTGGATCTTTGAAATGGAGAAAATCATTGCTGGTCCAAGTCAGAGTTTGTGCACGTGGCAGATCTGCGTTTCACACTGCGAGCTGTGGTTTCCCTTCAGGGATCCAAGGAATTCTTTCAAGTGATTCTGAGTCCACTGATAAAATAGAAAGAACAAAGGTCCAGACTGAGTTACCTAAATAACTATCTCCTAGATGTCATCCACACTAGCTAGGAAGTTTGGGGTGCAGTGGCTTCAGCCTCAGCATCTGTGCATGTGAATGGAGACCTTTCTCTCTAAATACAAGAGTGAAATGAATCTCCTCCCTCAACCTCAGTACACTTCCCTGCACAGCCTGTAACTGACATTAAGTGGCAATTTAACAACTTTCCGTGAATCCAGGCATGTATTTTGCTTTTAAACCGGAGTCTAAGCTATTGAATAGCAATTTTTCATGCTTGCAAATTTATTATAGCCAAGCTAGATATACATAGTAAATATAGAATAGTTCCATGCCCTCCATAGTGGAAAATTGTAAAAAAAATGAAAAAAAAAAACAACAACAATTAAATAAGCTTACCTGCTCACCTCTCTAAATCAGTTCTAGCTTTCTCCTTCTTTGGCTGGCTACTGTATAAAGTACTATATAAAGTACAGGTAACCATTTCCAATGCAAACGCTTGTCCAGGAGCAGTTTGTTCAGTTCAGACATAATCACATTTCTTTCCTCACCATGGAAAAATAGAATTTCATATGTATTTGCTATTTATTTATTTATGGATTATTTTTCTTTAAACTTAAGGATTTTAGAATTCTGCTTAGTACCAGCCATAAAAGTTCAAACAATAAATAATCTAAATAGTATCACTGAGCTTGTACATTTTACATTTTATTGGGTTGTGTGTGTGTGTGTGTGTGTGTGTGTGTGTGTAATGGGGAAATATTTATCTATATATAGAGAGAGACACACACACACAGAGACAGAAACACAAAGACAGACACATGCTTGTTCTTTTGTGTTCACAGTACCCGCAGCCATTACCCTGACATATAACTATTTTAAACCTTTATTATTTTATTGAAGAATCTGTCTTACGGTTTTCTTCTCACTCACAGATTTCTTTTTATTTTTCAGAGAAAAATAGTTAATGGACAATGAGTCATGACATAAGTATTTGAAAACAGGAGGGTCAGTCTCTCTTCCCACTTCCCTTTCTCCTCTGGGGAAATGAGCTCCTTCTCTGAAGTCAATCTTGACCATTAACATCCCCCTCTCAGGTAAGGTCCCTGTGCTATCTCTAACTCCCTCGGTCTCCAAAACTTGGCCATGCAGTAATGCCTAAGTCACTTCCGTCTTTCAAACCTATGCCCCTCTATCTGCCACTTTTGTTTTCTTCATTGCATTGTCATGTTTCCTTTCAGGCATCCATTGTTTCTCTCCTCTCAGTTAAGTATACTGAGCTAGAATTTTTGTTTCTAAAGCATAAAATATGGTTTTCTTCAACATTGCAAGTTATATTTTGGCCGTGTAATCCAAAGATGTTTCAATACGTGTGCATTTTTATATCAAGTGGCAAAACTATCATTTCGTCTTCAATCCGCACCTCCCCTGGCTTTCTCACCTCGCTTGGTTTCTCCCCTGACCCCTCTGTGCCTCATGCCCCCAGCAGCAGTGTCCTAGGGCTTCTCTCAGAACCTACTTCTTCTGTACCAGATGCTCTCTTCCCGGGTAAGAAATCATTTTCCTCTTCTGAACTTAGGACCTGCACAATGACAACTTTCCTACATCCACTCCAGGATCATATGTCCAGTTTAAAAATGATTCCTTTTCTAATTTTTAAATTGTACATTACAGTAGCACTTGTCTACATGAATATGAAGAGTATTAAATGAGTTAACTAGGTAAAGTCCTTTGAAATTCAACTTTTCAATTTTTTTCTTTTACTCATCTGGTGATTAAACACAAGGCCTTCAGTGGATGAGTGGCATCCATCCCCAGCAATTAATTTTATTTTCTTATTTTGAAACAAAATCTCAGTCGCTAAGTTGGCCAGCCTGGGTTTAAAGTGAAATTTTAGCTATTAATATTCTATCACGAAGATGCTTTTAGCTTCACTGGACATTTATATTTGTTATTATCAGCCAAAAGGTGTAGTTTCCATGTTTCAATGAAAATATTGAATAAGTAAATATATTTTTTAAAAACTTAAAAAGAGATGCAGTTAGAGAAGGAAAGCATCACTGAAGCAGAAGTCAGCTCTTTGGGTTTCTCCCTCTCTGGAGTTCCTGTGCCTTCAATTCCCATTTCTGTCTGCAGATGTGGAAGACAAGAAGGTGGACTCAGGGAGCGAGGGGTGGAGGAAAGCAGACCTGATGATATCCAGGGCCTGGGAGCAGAGGCGGGGTCCGCGTGCCTCTGTGTATCACCGTCCTCTCTTTTGATAATTATGAAAAATCAGCACTATAAAAAAGAGTCGCATCTTTAGGGATAATGCTCGAATGTGCTCCTCTTCTGGGTGACTGAAGAACAATCATAGAAAATGTTTTACTGAAAGTTTTGTTTCTTTGTTTGTGGTACCTCCCTGTGCATGGAGCTCCTTGCCTTCATACTGAGCTGTATAACCTGTCTTAAACCCCTACCCTTCTATTTTGAAATAAGTTCTTGCATAGTTGACCAGGCTGAGCTGGAATTTGCCTTAGCCTCCTTGATTTATGGGATTACTTACTTGTGTGACATACCAGACCTCGCAAGATTTGTATTTCTGATCACAGAAATAAAGATGACAAAAAATAAACCATTATACTTCTAATAATCTTTCAAGGATATTATACGTATCAAGATTATAAAAAAGACCGTAAAGGCTGAAAAATTAGACATGAAATCCAAGAGGAACTATGGAAGGAGAAGTGACAACAGAAAATGAAATATTAAAGAAAGCAAAAAATACGCCAAATCACTCATTTTATGAAATGTGGGTGAGAGTGGAGATTTCCGAATGAACTCTATATAATGATACAACTTTGCTGCAAGTTGTACATACTGAATTCTAGTACTGTATTTTATTTTTTTCCTTTAAAGACAATCTACAACACTTATAGTACTGTTACTTATATATTGATAACTGTTGGCTTACCATAAGCCAAAATAAGTAAAGTTATATAGAAAGTCACTGTCATATCTAAATCTGTTCAGCTTTTTAAAATTATTAATATTCACGAGAACTATGCTTACATTTAGGTATCTATTAAGCATATAATTATACTGAACCTCATTTTAAGAATGCACCTACTCAAACACCGGTTCATTCTTGCTGTCTTTTTTACTGCAAACACCAGAAGAAATAAAGCCTACAAGAATCTAGGTGCATTTGCTATGAAGACATCAGCTCTCTGTGTGTGCGATGAGGAGGTGACCAGTTCTAACCCCAGCCAGCTCTCATACCCCACGGATATGATGCCTGTCCTTACCAGATCTGCAGGTTTCATTCACCTTCTCCCGATACTGCTGCAAGCCTCAGGCCATTTTCTGCCAGAACAATTACTCTGACACTCAAAAACAATAAAATAAAATAATCTGTTTTTATAAGTTTTTATAATCCAGGTGGGGCAGTCCTGCTGTATTCATAGCAGACAGCTGTGCCTCCCTGTGGAAGGAAGTCTCTGTTTTCTACGGGGAGACCAGACTTAGAAGAGCTCACTCTGAAGTGTTTGTGTCAGTTTTGATCTCACAGCAGATCCCAGGAACCCAATCTGATTTCCCAATCTCCCATGAGAAAAATACATGTGAGCAATTAAACAGTTCCACCAAGGAGTTCATTAAAGGCACAATTAAATGATGTAATGTATTTACCTATATTGCAAGAATAATGTGAAAAACATACTTTGGCTCTCCAAGTCATAAATTATACAGAAATTTGGGTTGTGAGATTTGGTTTCTCACTTATTTTAATGAACTCAAATCAGTTTGTCAAAGAGCTACCAGAATATTCCATGAAAAATAATGGAGGAATAAACTGGAAATAAGCAAAAATGTATTTAATGAATTATAATTAGCATATCTTGGAGGTCAACATATTTAATGAAACCCATTGTGAATGAATTTAATAAATATGATATATACTGTGATATACTTGCCGATCTTGAAATATACCCATCCAAGGTCAAGTTATATAAGAGCATCTGCATCCCACAAATGTATTTTCGCTGTGAATATTTTGATCAAGACACTTGTCTAGGTACATAACAGACAAGTGAGTACATTGAACTAAGCAATAATATCCTTATCAATTGCAGAACAGTGAATAAGAGCAGGTGGAAGGCAACACGAGGAATTACATGGAGTTCGGAACATCCATGGCACGACGGGGTGCTGGACAAGGAAATCTAGAAACAGTGTGTTGCCTAATAAAGGTAAGTATGACTGAGTATGTGTATAGGGGAGGGCAGAGGTAAGGGGAAAAAGTGAGAATCACGACTTGCCATGTAAAGGTACATGATCCCAACAATGAATGTAACTGTACTGTATCCCCAAAATGTACCAATAAACTCAATAAAATTTAAATTTAAAAAAAAATAAAATAAAAAAAATTCACTCCGAAGAGCCTCAAAGTGTTTAATTCATGAAGAGGATATTTATAAGTAGGTATATGAGATTTGCCTTGGATGAATGTAGCAGAATACAATGTCTTAAATTGCCTCAAGTGTAAGTGGAATTTACAGACGATTTCAAGGTAGGTGCACGTGTTTGATATGTAATACATGCATCACCGTGGGAAGCTGGTACACTGCTCTACAGCATCATAATCCCTTTTTAATTCCCCAGCCCTTCCCCCGTGTCTCCTTTCCCTCCATCCCTAGATTAACATCCCCATCTCCATATGGTCTTCTGATAATTCAAAATCTGGACATAGACCAACCAAGACAGGATGTAGGAGTCTGAAAACACGTGCTCAACCATCTATGCTTCTCCATATCTCTGCTCTGCTTTTCTCTCTATTGACTTAAATACCAGGAAAACTCTCTTCTTGAAAGGAAAGCTTGGAATAATTTTAAGCTCTGTCAGTCCAGAAAGCAAGCAGCAGCAGGAGGAGGTTCATCTCTCCCCATTCATCCCGCAGAATCCCCCAGCCAGGGTGCTGGCTCGCTTGTGCCTAGCCGAATCAACTCTCTGTGTTTCTTTAGTGACTGACAAGGGACAGGACCAAATGCCACTGGGAGCAAGGCAGCGATGCCCTGAGGTTGCCTTGCTGCAGGAAATCCAAGCTGATATTAGTACAAGAATGAGAAATTCACCTCAAACTCTACGGGATTTCATAAGGGATGGAACAAAATATAATTAGTTCCCAAAAAGGAAAAAGAAATTTATGTGCTTGCTTTTCAGATATGTTGGAGAAGCAATCAATGTGCCTGTCAGCTTTCTTAGGTAACTTGGGAAGTTAACTACTAAGTTACATTGGGAAATATCTGCTATTAATTTTTTCTGAATCTTAATTTAAAGCCAGCTTCCTTTTTGTTAACAGTGTGCAACAGTCTCTGGGCATGACAAGTGTGACTGTATCTTAGTAGGGTATGGAGACCAAGTTATCAACACTGTGTGTTCATGACTGCAAAATCCAGTGTGTCTGAAAGGGGTATTGGAAGTCCTGGAGAGAGATCGAATTACTAACTGGGTAAAAGGAGGGATTCAGAGTATCCGGAAAGGGTCCTTAGACACAGGGAAGGTCATTAGTTCTGAGCTTGAGAAACACAGCTCTGATTAGAGTAGTAAAGGTGAAAGATTTTTCTATCCCATTCACCTAATGAATGAAAAGTCTCACAAGTTAAAATTCAAAATCTCATTCCATTTGAAACATTGGAAAATAGACTCAACACTATATTTTCATGAAAGAACCCAACTCCATTTTCTCAGTCAGTAATAATTCATGTAAAGTACTGTGACTACAGTTAACAGTATTCTTTTGCATGTGTGAATTTTGCTCAGGTTAGGTGTTTTCACCAGAAAGAAAGAAAAGACAAAAGAAATGGTGACTATGTGAGGTAGCAATGGCTGTATTGGTTATTCCACTTACGGTGTATACCACCAAGACACAATAATTCTAGCTGTCAATTTTACCTGAATAAAATAAAATAAAAAGAAGAGAGAGAGAGGTTGTTTATCTTTATGCTAAGCGATGATATTGCAAATTTTTAAAAATACAGAACAGATAACTCAATCTCCAATGTTGCCTTTTATGCACTGAGCCTCCTCTGTTTTCATTAATATTACTACAGATTCTGCATTCCAGGGGGAACTTCCTGAAGCCGGCCACTCATCTGCAGTCTTCGTGGAGAGAGCTGAGGCTGAGATGGAGCATCCGGCCCATGTTCATCGTCCTGAGTCAGGACCTGGATGCACAGCATTTGTTTAATCCCATGTCTGAAGCTCTTCCCGGAAGGCTAAATGACAAGCCTCTGTGACGTGCTTATCAAGTGACATAAAAGTAAAGGACATAACAAAGGATGAAAGAAATCTTAAAACAACAAGGAAACAAATGAAGTGTCAGCATATGAACGAGGAAAGTTGGATTATGGCAAACAAGGAGACAGATCTGCAAATGGGAAGGGGTCCAAGAGACCGAGGCCCAGGGAGGGCAGGAGGGGAAGGCATAAAAGAAACTTAAGATGTGTCATGTACAGGTACCAAATGCCCATGATGAATGTAAACATCATTTGTTACAAATGTGTATTACAATAATAATATTAACAAGAATAATGAAAACGGGGAAAGGAGAGCTAGAGATAGAGGGGGGGAGGGGAGAAGGGAGGGAAGGGGAATAAAAAGAATCAAGATGAGTTATGTACTTGCACTCGCTCCCTAAGATGAATGTAGACTTCATGTATGGCAAACCAGCAATAATAGAATACATTTTTCAAACGATGGGTGTGTTGGGCTTTTAAGTCTCAGATGTTCTTATGGAACCTGTAAAAAAAATCTTATTTAGAAAAAGTAGTTAGCAGACAAGATTAAGCTAAGGAGTATGACATGGGGAGACCTCTTCCTATTCCAGATGTCATCAGAAGCTTGCTGGGGGGTGGGGAGAAGGTCGTTTCACTCACACACATGTATGTGTACACACATAACCACATGTGAGAAGAGGTCAGACCCCGATGGAACATCTTGCACTGTGTGATGATACAACTACAAGGCATGGGATTTCTGCAGCAACCAAAACCAGAGCTGGAAGAGGGATTGGATGTTCCCAAGAACCTCATGAGAGGGATCCACATCCACATCTTGATTTGCCCAGTGCCACCAGTTTCAGGCTTCTGCCCTCCAAAGCCGTGAAAAAATAAAAAGTATAGTTCTAAGTCACTACATCCAGGGTAAGCAGTTTCCAAACCATAGAAAATTAACTTACTGTGTTTAGAATATAATACATTGAGAAAATGCAGTGAATGCATATAATAATTTTCAGTAGAAAGAAAGGAAATAGCAATACAGATACAGAAAAGTTTAATAAGTAGGGTATCAAAATTCATGATATAATTGCTTATTCAAGAACGAAGGTAAAATACAAAGCAAAGGGAAAAGGTAACAATACCAAATTTATTAATCAGTTATGTAACATAAATTCTAAGAATTTGATATGTTTTCTAATTTTCATGACTATTTTACCAAAAATACAGAAAATATGATCTCTATTTTGCAGATATGATAGCTTATAATAGTTCCCAAATTATAAACTTGCCATACAAATCTAATAAAGCAGAAAATCATGGAAAATGACTGAAATGATATTTGGAAACGCACATGAGAAATTAATTTTATATATTCAAGAAAAATCACAACTATGAGAAAATGTATATTTATTTTCCCTACTTAAAATGAAGTCAGTTAAATGGTTATATGCATTAAAGATAATAAAAAGAAAACATAAACCCCTGGGTCCTAGAATATCTCCATGGCATTTCATGCCCACTCATCTTAGCAAGAATCCCTTGAAAGATTCTGTTCGGCACTGGAGACAACCTAAGAAAATGGATCCTCGGAAGGTAAGTTGCACCTCAGCACTTTCCTGAGAGCCTCTTTGACATCCTTGTTCCTCAGGCTGTAGATCAGAGGATTCAGCATGGGGATCACGACAGTGTAGAAGGCTGTGGCCACTTTGTCAGCTTCCCGACTGCTGCCCAGACTGGGTCTACAATAGAGGAAAAGAATTGTCCCATGGAAGACAGTGATGGCCGTGAGGTGGGAGGCACAGGTGGAAAAAGCCTTGCGCCTTCCCTCTGCCGAGTGCAACCTCAGGATGGTGATGAGGATGGAAGAGTAGGAGGAGAAGATGATGACGATGGTAAGCATCTCATTAACAGTGGACACAATGAATGCCATGAGTTCGTTAATAAATATGTCAGAGCAGGCAAGAGAAAAGACAGGTGGTAAGTCACAGAAGAAGTGGTCAACCCCGTTGGGCTTATAGGATGGGATTTTAAGAGTTAAGCACAGGTGAATCAGAGCACACACAGATGCACAGAAGTAGCAGACAGAAATCAGCTCCATACAAAGCTTTTGGAACATGGTGATCATATAGAACAGTGGGTTACAGATGGCCAGGAAACGGTCATAGGACATAACCTCCAGGAGGAAATCCTCAGTGACCATGCATGTGCAGAGTAAATAGAATTGCAGCATGCACCCCAGGAAGGAGATGTCTTTGTCCTTGTTTAACATATTAGCCAGCATCTTTGGCACAATCGCTGTAGAGCAGCAAAAATCTGCAAAGGACAGGTGGCTGAGGAAAAAGTACATGGGGGTGTGGAGTCCAGGGGTGACCTGAATCAGTGCCACCATGCCCAGGTTGGCCAAGGCGGTGACTCCATAGATGAGAAGGAACAGCAGGAAGAGGAAGATTCTCAGCTCAGGGACATCTGAGAGGCCAAGGAGAATGAATTCTGTTGCCTTGGAGCAATTTTCCTCCACCGTGGCCATCTTGAATGAGGTCAGAGAAAAGTAATATGCTTTTGGAAACTTCTGAGAAATATAATAATACATAATTGATATCACAATAGTTACACTGTAGCAATATAGCTGTCAGGTAACATAAAATACATGACTCTGAATCAGTTCATGCATCAGTAGTAACCTTGTACTACCACATCTTTGTATCACTGTAAATGCACACAGCCATTAAATTAGGGTGTCCTGTGGGCTTTGTAAGAGAATTCATGATTCATTTTAAAGCTAACTATAAATTAGTCTGCATTCTCTATCATACTTATTACGTTGTGCCTAACTGCAATGAAAAATGTTATGAACCTATGTAGTATGAACTATTTTTTAGTATAGTGTGTCGTTATCTTTAATTTGCCCCAACTGAGGTCTGTTCTGGTTTCATAATGTGCAGGTTTCAGGCACATTAAATTAATTTAACAAAATTAAATGACAGCCACAGTGAGTTCTACTATGATATGAAGCTCTCGATTCTATAAAGAAAACAGGTGAGTAAAAAGGACATAGGTAGGAAGACAGAGATAAGAGAAATGAATGTGCCATTTGTTTTTCTGCATTTGTTCATACAAATGAAGTCGCACAGAGGAAATAGTTCCCATCGACTATCTCTCAAAACTAAATTTAAACACATTGGATGGAATAAATCCACAGAAAAATAGTTCTCCTACACATTTTGTAACTACAAAGAGATAATTTAGACATTATCATTGAAATAAATTTTGCTCATAGATATATTAATTTTCATTTTGCAATAAACAGTCTACTTTTAGCTAACAAACCTGAGGTACAGACATTCTTCCGTGGCATGGAGGATGCCAATGTTGTGTCACCTATCCCTGCACAGTCGGAAATTTGTACTATAATTTAAACTCTTGAGAATTGTGTCCCTTAAGTGAAGCCATTTTTAATCTCTATGGTATAACAAAATTAAAATTTCACAAAAATGCTCATGAGATAAGACATAAAATATAAGAAATCTGTCTGGAATAGCCCAGTCATTTCAAAGACATTCAGGAAATACTTGAAATACTTGTTTTGTGTAAAACCAAACTTACTTCTTTCACACTTCATGATACTTTATGCACTTAACATCTTAATTCATTTTTTCCCTTTCCTCTCTGAACCCTCCTCCCTTGATCTCTTGACCCCTTCCCCAGCCCTCAGCCCAGAAGTGTTGTTGCTGGCTTTTCTGCTCCTCCAATGGTTGGTTTCACAGCAATCTTATCTGTCTGATGAGTTACAGAAAATGTTAAGATTTTTTAAAAACTAATTGTGGAAAACAAACTCTTATTTTTCCTATAATATTGGCACAAAATTCTTTATGGTTTGCTACCTGTTAGATTGAAGTCAGAAGTCTGATAATGTAGGTTTAAAAAAATTAAACAAACAAGATTGAAACATGCTTTATTTTAATCATTTTGTATGATTTCATTATATTTTCAAAAACTGAAAGTCAATTTCTATAATAATTGTATACAATACCATTTAAAATACAGAGATTTGGCTCAGTGGTTCCACCACCTGCCTAGCAAGTGCAAGGACCAGAGTTCGATCCCCAGTACCTAAAAAACAAAACAAAAATAAAATACAGATATTACTGAGAGTGCTTTCACCAAAAATTAAAGTAAAACATGGAAAATTATTAAAACAATCACCCATGAGAGTTTTGCATATTATATGAATAATGCTAAAAATATTTCAAAGCATTCATGTTACAAAAAAATTGTTTTTCTAGATTTGTTTTCAAATGATTAAATTTAAAGCTGTTGAACCCTGTGGTATTCTAGCAATAAAAATGTTCATCTATGGATTATTTTGCTAACTAAAATAAATACAAATAAAATTTATCTTAGTAGCTATAAGTAAAGGGTGTATTTCCAGTGACTTTGTAAATTCTCTTGAATATTTCACAAAATGTGTGAAATAACTAATGCATAGAAGTAGGATAGTAATTAAGATAATGATTACTTTATGTAAATAAAAAATCATAGGAAGCTTTATTATCATAAGAAATAAAAAGTCAATTCTGTATAATTTTAAATTGCAAAATAATATATTCCCAGAGAATACAATTTAAATCTGTGGTGACAAAAGGTATGAAATCTGATCATTCATGAATTTCAGGTGAATCATATTGAACACATTAATTAGCTATCATAAAAAACATATCATAAAATTATAAATTTTTGTTTGGAATTTAAATTCCTGAAATATTTTTAAACAAGTGAAAATTCTAACACTTAGGTACATATTCAAAATTAGATATTTTCAAAAGCATGTGAATAAATAAATAAAATACCAAACATGAATCAGACTCTATATATCACTAATGGAATTTACCAAGATGTGCTTAAATTTCTTACTAGAGAATGGCACACAAAAAACTTTCTATCAGTGTTTATTGACACCCTCTGGGGGTGAGCTGCTGCAGCCTGCAACCACGAAGACATCCCTCTTCCGCTCCACAGTAGGTCTAAGGGAACTCTCACCACCTACGCAACATGCCAGTGATGGGATGTGAATGTGCATTTGCTCCATATTACCGACATAGAAGCTAAATTACATGATATTATTTTGTAGAGAAAGATGGAAAGACTTTGTGGGCTACACAAAACAAGACAAGTATAGTTTCTCTGACCTAAAATTCATATTCATCCCCTTCCAAAATGATTTATTTTTTCTCAAAGTCCAAAGCAATTTTAAAAACTGAACTCTCCATGTACAGTTTTCTCGCAAAAAGTAAATTTAATATGAAACCGCCAAATTAAATGTACGTCTCTGTATATCATTAATATGAAAAAAATTTCGTGTTCAGGATCTTATGGACTGTGTCCTTCACTTCCTTATTTCTCATGCTGTAGATCAGGGGGTTCAGCATGGGGATCACAACGGTGTAAAACACAGAGGCCACTTTGACCGTGTGCTGGGAGTTCTTGGAGTTGGGCACACAGTAGAGGAACAGAATGGTGCCGTGGAAGATGCTGATGGCCATCAGGTGGGAGGCGCAGGTGGAGAAGGCTTTGTGGTGTCCGCTGGCTGAGGTCATCTTCAGAGTGGTGCCAACGATGAACAGGTAAGATGTGAGGATGATGAACAGCGTACTTATCTCATTAAAGGTGGCAACAGGGAAGAGGAGGACCTGGCTGAGATTGGAATCAGAGCAAGAGAGCGAGATCAGGGAGGACAACTCACAGAAGAAGTGATTGATGGTGTTGAGGCCCTGAAAATCCAATTTTAGAGCAGAACATGTAAGTGTCAAGGAACACACAACTCCCCAGGTGTACGACCCGAGCACCAGCAGGGCACAGAGTTTCTGGGACATGACAACCATGTAGAGCAGCGGTCGTAGGCCATGACAGCAAACAGAACCAGTTCAGTCACCACGAAGGAGCAGAAGAGAAAGAATTGCACCATGCACCCTGAAAAAGAAATGCTTCTGTCTTCTACGACTAGGTTCAGCAGCATCTTGGGGGCAATGATGGTAGAATAGCAGAAATCCGCAAATGACAGGTGGCTGAGGAAAAAATACATGGGGGTGTGCAGTCTGGGATTAATTTTGATGATTACAATCATCCCAAGATTCCCCAGCACACTGAAGCTGTAGATGGCCAGAAATACCAAGAAGAGGGGAACCTTCAGTTCTGGGTAATCTGAAAAGCCCAGGAGGGTGACTGTGGCCTCAGAAGTTGTATTTATCTCTGTCCAAAACATGTTTCCTTTTGGTGAGATCTGAAAATCAACCTTGGAGATAAAATATGGAAAATGATTGACACATAAACCATGCTTAGCTCTCCCCTTTGAAGAATAAAGGGTGAGACACCATAGAGTCTTGAACTATCCTGTTATGTGCAAGATAGGAATAACTGAAGTTTCAGAAATAAAATCATTGACATACATTACCTTCTTAAACATTTTGCTAATATTGCAAAATATAATTATAGCCATGGAAGAATAATTATTAGCTCAGGCCATTTTGTAGGTCACAGGTGGTCAAATTCTCATGAGAAACATTCAAATGTCACTGAAAGTCATGAGCTCTACAAACAAAAGTTTAGAAGAAGAAATAATTTATGTTGGTCCTACAGTTGCTGATGAAAAGTGGAAGCACTTGAAGTTACTTCTGTAGTTGATATAATTATTTGTTTAGCATTTTAATCATTCTTCATGGTGACTATTTATGGCAGATATCAAAGCCAGAAATTGCTTCTGATATTTGTAACAAACTTAATCTATTGAGCTGCTTTCTTCAGCGGATGAGCAAAGTAAAGATTTAAGAAGCCATGGCCTGCCTGATAAAATAATAATATTGGATTATCAATAAATCTAGTTTCCTCCACTCTCAGTCAGATATCTCTTGAGAGCAGGCTCTGATTTGCGTGACAAATGGGTATCATAACAATTTTACTTCATAAATATCACATTGCATACTCTATTTTCTGTTTCTTTTGACTCTTTAAGAGACTCTGCATTATAAAAGTATGGAAATTGAAAATAGTGAGGGCCACAGATCCCCTGTCAGTATTGGTGTTAAGTTTGCACACATAAAATGGAATTCACAGGAAGATTCCCATTTTGGAGTAATTGTGTAAAATCCTCATAAGCATAGACATGGACACCTCGCTTTCCTATGCTGCTCTGTCTTCCCTAAAAGCCATCTAGAACACTCAGTGTCTCTTTCTGTTACCTCTAAAGAAAGGAGATGGGAATGTTGGGATCTCACCCCACTCAGAAGACACTCATGAGGGTGGGATTCTTATTACACAGAGATCTTCGTGTTTGTCTGACTGGAATCCACGTAGGATCTGCACATAAATTGCAAGACCCTAGTTGTCTTTCCGAAAGATAATGGTGAGTCCCAGATATGTCACAAGCTGTACTCGCACTAAGAAATTAGTCTTCTTTATGTAAAGTTCAAACTTAACCTGGCCTCCTATATTTTTGCTGGCTAGATCCCGCAGGCTACATTCCTAAAAGTTCAGAATTTCAGAATAGCATGGCAACCAACACATCCATTTCTCCTGGGCCTTACCTTGCATTGGTTCTTACTCATGAGTCCTTCATGAGCAGGAGATTCACTGAATCCCACACCCCCATGTTGCAGACAGTCATTTCTGATAAAAACTCCTTCTGCTCTTTTACCCGAGTGACAAATTCTGGGAGGTCCTTCACTCTGCATGTAGGGAACCATATCACCCTAAATACTGTCCAGAATCCTAAGTGTTCAGATGTCCAAGAATTTAAGAACCAATGAGAAAGCAATATTTTCCAGTATATTCTCACATCACAACGTTTTCACATTGTTCCCTTCAGGGCTTCCAAAACTCTGGTGTGTTTATCTTCTGTGCCTGATGATTCTGTTATGCGAGGTTGCCCTGTGAATTGTACGGTGTAGAGAAGAATCTCTGAGCTTCATTCACTGGACAAGACTCTCACTAACTCCACCTGGCTGTGAAAACCAAAAATGTCAGTAGACATCTTTGGAGAGGAATGGAAGAAACATAATCTCCTGTAGTTAAGAATTACTACTACATTTCTTGGTACTGGTAGACTTTAATGAATTTTTTTCCATCTGATTTCAAC